ACCCACCCCCCCCCATGCACCAGGCCTCTATGCTATATAGTAAAAGGGTAATATGCCTACCAGCACCGGGATCAGTGGAGCCACGAGGCCTCCCGGCACCGGGATCAGCATGATGGGGCAGCGCCCACACACCCTGACAGCCTTGTGGCTCTGTGTGTGACAGGGGGCGGGGCCACAACCTCCCTATCCACCCTGCTCTGTTCGTGACAGGGGAAGGCACCTCAACCCCCTGATCAGCCCTGCTCTGTGCCTGATGGGGGGAGTTCCCCAACCCCCTGATCGCCATGCGGCTGTGTGTGTGACAGGGGGTGGTGCCCGAAGCCCCCAATCGGCCCTACCCTGAACATGACTGAGGGTGGCATCACAACCTCCCAATCTGCCCTGCTCTGTGCATGACAGGGGGCGGCGCCCTAACTCCCCAATCAGCCCTGCTCTGAGCCCAACCAGGGGCTGCACCTAGGGATTGGGCCTGCCCTCTGCCACCCAGGAGCAGGCCTAAGCCAGCAGGTTATCTCCTGAGGGGTCCCAGACTGTGAGAGGGCACAGGCCGGGCTGAGGGACCCTCCCCGCTCCCCCCCCCCCCAGTTCACAAATTTTTGTGCACCGGGCTTCTAGTTATATATATTCATGTGGTGGTGCAACCATCACCACCATTCATCTCCAGAACTTTGTCATCTTTGCCAAACAAAAGTGTACCTATTAAACCCAACTTTTAAAGGACGTGTAGGACTCCAATAGGAAATATAAAGAAACTTGTTTTCTAAACATGTCCATGTGGGTTATCACCTGCTTGTAAGGCTTGCCTAACATTGAGATTGCTTTGTTCACCAAATGTTTATCAAACATTTGTGTTCCAGGCACTGAAATCAGGCCATTTATATAAGTATACATACAATAGACCTAAGTGGTTGGGTACATTGTTCCTAATATAAATCAAGGAATTTGAGTGATGCAGCAATAAAGGGGGTATTCACTATAAAACGTCCCTCTTCACTATAAAATACGTGGCTCCTTTGGATAAAATCCTGCTCCCTTTCCTATAAAACTGCCATTAAGCCCATATGCTCTAGAGGACACATGTGCTCTCATTAAAAACAATAAAACAAACTCCTGGAGGCAGATTTAATGCCTGCAAACATTTTTCAACCTTTACCTGCTTAAAGTCCATTATACAGAATAACCCCTCAATTCCCTTACCCAATTCCACCAGTGAATGTCAACTCTAATTCAACACTCACTGCTTCCCCCAGGCCTGCATCTAAACAGATGCCCTTACTGGGCGATATTGACCAAGCTGACTGGCTTCCCCTGACATTCTAACCCTGACCCCAAAGCTTCACTGGGCACCTCATTACCGGGCACTCCTACATTTCCCTAGTAACTTTATTCCTTTTCTCCTAGATACCTTCTCTCAAGGCCCGCACATGCCCTCCTGATATCCTTGCCTTACTTTTAATTCATGTGTCCACAAAGACAAGCCCGCTGGTGTTCCTGGATCTCATGCCCTGTCTTCTTCAGGTTTTCCCTCCTTGCACCCCTATCTCCCAGACCTTTCCCACCAGCACACAAGCTTGCTGTTACCTACACACACACCACCACCACCTTCTTTGAAAAGCTTTCCTTTCCTCTTTTCCCTATGTCCGTCCCTACCCCAGCTACCACCCAATGGCTCTGCTCCCTTTCACAGGTCTTCCCTCCCCCATTCACTTGTTTTCCGTCTTCCTCCAGCATGCTCCCATCACATCTTCCTGGGAACCTCTGGAGCTCTCAGGGCTTTATGGACCAGGTTGAAACCATAGCCTAGTCAACTTTTACATTACATGGATGGGGAAACTGAGGCCAAGGGAGGGGTATTAACCTACTGACGGTCACACAACTTTAATGGCAGAGGCGGCCTGATCCCAGGTCTTTTGATTCCATGCCCAGGATTCCACTATATCAGCAGTTTTCAAAATATGCTCCACAGAGGAGTCCTAAGGGATCCCCACTGTGATCCAGAGAGAAGGTGTTTTTTTTGGCAGGGGAAGACAGGGAATCAATTCAGCTAAGTACTCAGCTCTATTCTCATTATTTGGTTTTGTTTGAAGAAAAGGTTAAGCAGTTAAAAACAGTGCTCATGCCTGGCTGGCATGGCTCAGTGGTTGACTGTCAACCTATGAACCAAGAGGTCATGGTTCGATTCCCAATCAGGGCACATGCCCGAGTTGCGAGCTTGGTCCCCAGTGTGGAGTGTGCAGGAGGCAGCCAATTAATGTTTCTCTCTCATTATTGATGTTTCTATCTCTCCCTCTCCCTTCCTTTCTGAAATCAATAAAAATATGTTTAAAAAAACCATCAAAACAAACAAACAAAAGAAACAGTGCTCAAATGTTATTATCTAGAATCCTTGCTGGGAGAAAGGAATAACCACATTATGGTTATTATAACACCTGTTATGAGCTGAAACATATCGCATGCCAGGCGCTGTTTTCACCATTTTCCTGAGGCCGAGCTGTTCCCTGAATTGCCCAAGGTCACACAACTGGTGGCAAAGCCAGGATTCAAATCTAGGCAGTGAGTGTAGAATCCTTGTTTTTAACCACCACATCCATTGGCCGCTTCAAACATAGGACAGGTCTGAAAAATAAGCCTTTCACTCTCAGTTCAGCGGCAGGGCCGCTCTGTGAAGCCACGCCTCCCTCCCTGTCAGTGCCTTCTACTCCAGCTCTTCAGCCCAGAGCCCAGCCTTTTTATTCATCCTCCTTTTAGACAAACCTCCTCTCTTTCTGGTTAGGATCTTGATCACTTGTCCACCAATTCTATGGAGTCTGCCCCTACAAGTACCATTTCTCACGATCCCCTCTCCCAAGGTGCTCTGTGAGTCCACTGACTTTATTTTTTAAATTAAGATACAATCCACATCCCATAAAATTCACCATTTTAATGCAATTCAGTGGTTTTTAGTATATTCACAGTTGTGCAACCACCACCACTATCTAATTTCAGAACCTTTTCCTCCCTCCAAGAAACTGTACCCATGAGCAGTTTCTCCATTCCCCAATGCTCCAGCCCTAGCCCCTGGCAACCACGAATCTACATTCTGTTTCTATGGACTTTCCTATTTTGCACATTTCTTATTGGTGAAATCACACAATCCATTCACTCTCCAACCCTCTCTAATCTGAGTTCTGTTGCCATCTCTCCTTTTGTCCTTTTGTCCAGCTGCCAAATAGACATGGCTCCTCCTCCCTCACTCTCCACCTCTTAACTTATGCAAACGGTGGGCCACTCTCTCTGGGCAGGATTTTCTTCTCTTGATTCAGAAGCCCCTTTTTTGCCCAATCTCTCTGAACTCGCCCTCGCAGCTTCCTTTGCACCACTTCTCACAGACCCCCAGATGTTTGCGGTGTCCCAGAGTTTAGTCCTCAGCCCCTCGCAGGCAATTTCATTTAGTCTCTTACAGCTTTAAATATCATCACTATGCTGAAAGGTTCTCAAATATTTATTTCTAGCTCGGACTTCTCCCTTACACTGAAGATTAGAACATCCAGCCATCTACTTTACATTCATATCTAGTGTCTAATGGCATATGAAACCGTCAAAGCAGAATTCTTGTTTTCTCTCACTACCGTCCCTGTTCCCCATCGTTATAAAAAATGATGGAGCTGTTCAAGCCCAAAACTAAGAGATCATCTCTCTTTCTACCATCTTTTTTTTTTTAAACATAAATCATCTATAAATTTCTGTCAGTTCCACCTTCAAAGTATGTCTCAGGTGCATCCACCTCCTACACTGCCATTGTCACCACTCCTAGTGTAAGCTGCTAACATCACTGGCCTGATGACTGCCATAGCCAGCTTCCGCTGCTGCCACGCGGCCAGCCTCCAGGCAGATATCCGTCGCAAGTAAACATCCTATCATTTCATTCCCTTCTTAAAAGCTTCAATGGCTTCCAAAGTCCCACTGCTGCCAATGAGGCCGTCTCCCTCCCACCTCATTTCCTGTCGTCACGATGCTCTAGTCAAAAGGCCCTCTTTTTGTTCGGTCGCCATGCCACAGGGCTTAATCATGCCACAGGGTCTCTGCACCTGCTGGCCCCTGCCCAGAATGCTCCTCTTGTACCTCTTCAAATACAGAGGTCCCTCCTCCTCACTCAAGTCTTTGTGAAAGTCTGTCTGAAGGGGCCTGTTCTTACCCCCAGTCATTCTATTATGTTACACCTTTCTTTTCTTTGCAGTACTTATCAAAATCACAACCACTTATTTGCTTATTTAGTGCCAGCTTTGTGGGGGCAGGAACCTTATCTGTCTAGTTCCAGCTGTAGCTCCAACACCTAGGAAGGGCCTGGCACACAGCTAATGCTCAATCAATATTTGTTGAATGAATAAATAAATGTTGTTATAGAGGGAAATCTCTAAGGCACATTGTTAAATGCAGCAAAGTGTGAGAGAGTGTATGAAATGATTCCTTCCACTGGGGGGAAGAAAGGATATAACTGCACATGGACTTGCACAGGCATCAAACAGGTCCCAAGATCTCACAGGACACAGCAAATGTTATCTTTGACAGGTGGAGAGAATCTTTCAAATGATAAGCCCTTCTGGACCACTTGAATATATTTTTACTATGAGTATGTATTGCTTTTGTCATTAAAAAGGATATACTCAGGCCCAGCTGGCGTGGCTCAGTGGTTGAGGTTGACCTATGTACTAGGAGGTGATGGTTCAACTCCCAGTCAGGGCACATGCCCGGGTTGTGGGCTAGATCCCTAGTAGGGGGCCTGCAGGGGCAGTGGATCAGTGATTCTCCCTCATTATTGATGTTTCTATCCCCTGCTCCCTCTCCCTTCCTCTCTGAAATTGATAAAAATTTATTATTTTTTTAAAAGGATATAATCAGGAAAACAAAGCTATTGGTTATTTTATCTACAGGATCAATAATACAAGTTTTCTAGTGCTCTCTGAACCAAGGCAAGCACATCCCAGCAATGGCAAGCTTAGGAAGGAGTTCAGTCATTTGTGGCATGCTTCAAATGCAGGCAGGAGGAAGAGGGTCCGGGAAAGACCTCTGAGGTTACACCAACCTCACCCCACTTTGCTATTTACTACCAGGGGTGTCAGCCTCACCATGGATGAGGTGGAGTCCAGGAGGCTCACAACCTTCATCTCAATGTCGTCCTCGCCGAAGCTCTTCAGCAGTTTCATAACCTCGCTCACTGTCAGCCATTTACAATCCACATTTTGAATGGAAACAATATAATCCCCTTCCTTGGCTCCTGCCAGCTACAAAAGTATAATGTAAATAAAGGTCACATTCTGTTCATTCAGTTCCTGGAATCAGTTTCCAACTTCATTAATAAAATAGATATTTGCGAAATTTGCTTTAAGAAATAAAAATTAATCTTTTCCTCTTTGGGCATGTAACCCCCATAAGAGGGCTTTTTAATAAAGGAACCCTAAATCATTCACCCACGTTTGTTTGGCAGCTTTCTTTGTATTTTACCAGTTTGACTGCCTGCAAAGATGCCAGTGAGTTTTGCCCCTACAATGGCATACACTTACCGCAGCAGCGCAGTAAGGATCCAGGAAGTGGACCTGAACTGGAGAATTTCCTCTCAAGGTGAACCCTAAGTCCCCTTCTTCCACAGTGAAGTGAATGCTTCGAGGAGGTGTCCATCTCTTGTTGGCCGAAAACACCGACAAAGGACCCTTTGGAATAGAGCATCATTAGCTGTAGGATCTGAAGGCTGAATCGGGCATTTGAAAGCTAAAGGAAATGTTGCCTTGTTGTCTTTGCAGATGTCATTCAGCCTTGCTCAGAGACTAATGAAATGACACCACCCAAGGTAATACATGCTAGAGCAGTCATACGAGAACATGAATTGCCATTTTCTCTTAAATAGCCAACATATTTTAAATAAAATTATCTTAATTAAAATCCCCAAATTAAGAAAATCTAAAACAGGGGTGGGGAAACATTTTTCTGCCAAGGGCCATTTGGATATTTATAACATAATTCGCAAGCCATACAAAATTATCATCTTAAAAATTATGTTGCTATGAAAAAAGCTCCTAGATTTACTGAATTCCGAGTCCTGCCTGCGGTTGCCACAGCAGGGCCAGACCGAATGACACTGCTTGCAGGCCGGATGTTCCCCACCTCTGATCTACAGAATCTAAAAATAATCTTTTACATACTTGCAACATGTAAAAGCTGTCCCTTAGGTCATTATGAAATAAACCCTCAACATACCAATTTCCGGAAGAAGTCCGTTGCTGTCACCGTGGAGAACTGTGGCACTGTAATTTCAACCTCTCGCTCAGTTTTAGCTAGAAAATAAAAGGGAAGGTATGGATGTTTCTGTAGTTGGAAGTTATCCTCGATGCTGGCCAGGTAGCTCAGTGGGTGAGAGCATCATCCCAACACGCCCAGGTTTCAGGTTCAATCCCATCAGGGCACATACAAGAAACGACCAATGAGAATGACTGGCGTGGCTCAGTGGTTGAACGTTGAACTATGAACCAGGAGGTCAGGGTTCGGTTCCTGGTCAGGGCACATGCCCAGGTTGCAGGCTCGATCCCCAGTGGGGAGCATGCAAGAGGCCACCGATCAATGATTCTCTCTCACCATGGATGTTTCTATCTCTTTCTCCCTCTCCCTTCCTCTCTGAAATCAATAAAAATGTATTTTAAAAAAGAATCAACCAATGAATGCATAAATAAGTGGGACAACAAATCGATGTTTCTCTCTCTCTCTCAAAATAAATTAAAAAAATAAGAATTCAGGTCTAGCCGAAACCGGTTTGGCTCAGTGGCTAGAGCGTCGGCCTGCGGACTGAAGGGTCCCGGGTTCAATTCCAGTCAAGGGCATGTACCTTGGTTGTGGGCACATCCCCAGTGGGAGATGTGCAGGAGGCAGCTGATCGATGTTTCTCTCTCATGGATGTTTCTGACTCTCTGTCTCTCTCCATTCCTCTCTGTAAAAAATCAATGAAATATATGAAAAAAAAAAAGAAAGAATTCAGGTCTAAATCTTTATTCTGAAGGAAAGAGGCAGCAAACCTTGCTCCTAGTCACATGTCCTGTCACTTGGTTTTGGACTACTGGTCTACCCCCCTGGTCCAGTATGACCTGTACCTACCATAAGCCAAACCCTTCTCTGGGGCTGAGACAGAGCAATGACAAACTGATAGATTCCCTGCCTTCAAGTAGCTTGTTTATATTCTAGTGGACTTCCTTTGGTATCATAAAACCCTGCTGAGAAATAATCTATATTTTAGGCGTCGCTGTTACAGAAGGAAGTACCATGTCTGATAGCATAAAGTCCTGGAGGAGATGTGCTTCTTTTCATTATTAGTGTGTAATGGGATGATTCCACAGTGAGCAGTGAGTTTGCCGAATTGTGTCCATCAATAGCTCAAATCTCCACACATCTATGGCAGACCCAACCCACCCTTACCAAGAGGCTAGTCGGCTTCTCACAAAGGATCCCAGCACAGGCTAAGTATACATGAACAACAGTATAAAAAGAAACCTTGAGGAAGCAGACTGGCACTGCCAAGGTAGATCACACCCATCTATTCACAGGATGACCCTGTGGCTTCTTACAAACTGCCCGATACAGTGCTGGGCTCGGAGAAGCTGCCCATCTACTAAGAGTAGTGCCACCACCCCATGACCTCACCAGGAGTCACGTGTCTCCCTCCCTCCATGGAGGTTATGTCTCTACCTCCTGGCCACAGAGCACCTGGTATGGACCCGGGGGCCAAGGAGGTGGCCACAGTGTCTGTGAAGGAGATTCTCTGAGCACTATTCCTGCTTCCACCACCCAGCTTGGTCACCTAAGCCTTTATGGTCTCTTTAAGATAAGGGAATACAGTACTTCCATCATACAGCTGGCAAAGGAGATTGAATGAGATTCTGTATACAAGTGGTGCTTAATATTGGACCTGGCAGATCAAATGCTCAGTAGGTATCAGCCAACATTACTACAGCCAAGCCCAGGGTTCTAGCCTGAGCTAGAATCTAATCCTAAGGAGCTAGTCCCTGAAAACTGGGGGGTAGAACTCCAGAGCTGCGGACAGAGGTTTAGGAAATAGGATCGAAGGGGGTTTGGCCAAAGGGGGTTCCTTTGATTGGGCCACCCTCCATCCCTTCCCCTAACTCCCAGAAAGATCCTAGTCATTCTCACTGTGAAGTCACCTCTGAGGAGGCCCCTCCACTCCTGGCCTCCACGGCAGAACTACTGACACCTTTCCAAGGGCAGCAACAAGTGTCCAGTTCACCTCCATATTCTTGAAAACAGGACAGTGCTCAACACTTTAGAGATCCTTAGAAAATGCTCATGGTGCACCATCTCATTTATAAGTGGAATTTAAAATAGTCCAACTCACCCTGGCCAGTTTTTCTCAGTGGTTAGAGCATTGGCCCAGGGGCCAAAGGGTTGCGGGTTCGATCCCCAGCCTTGGTCGGGGTGTGTGCAGGAGGGAACCAATTGATGTGCCTCTGTCACATCGATATTTCTCTCTTTCTCTCTCCCCTCCCCCTTCCACTCTGTCTGAAAATCGATGGAAAAAATATCCTCAGGTGAGAATTAAAAAAAAAATAATAATAAAATAGTCCAACTCATCAAAGCAGAGAGCAGAATGCTAGATGCCAGAGGTAGAGGTAGGGGAAATGAGGAGATGTTGGTCAAAGGTACAAAGTCTCAGTTGTACAAGATGAGTAAGCTCTAGAGATCTAACATACGGCATGGTGACTATACTTAACAATACCATACTGTATACTTGAAATTTGCTAAGAGGGTAATCTTAAGTGTTTTTCACACACACACACACACACACACACACACACACACACACACACACACACAGTCACTCACTCACACACTTGATGAACTAGGTTTTTTTAAAAAATATTTATTTTTTAAAATATGTTTACTTATTTCAGAGAGGAATGAAGAGATAGAAACATCAATGACAGAGAATCACTGATCAGCTGCCTCCTGCACGCCCCCTACTGGGGACTGAGCCCACAACTTGGGAATGTGCCCTTGACCGAAATCGAACCTGGGACCCTTCAGTCCGCAGGCTGACGCTCTATCCACTGAGCCAAACCGGCTAGGGCTCAATAAACTAGGTAGTGAAGAACTCTTCCTGTATCCCCTGGTTCCACTATATCAGTGAAAGTTTTAGGTGCCATTTCATAATAAAAATAACTTTTGTCTTTGAAGAAAAATACATGTTGGTGCTAATAAAAGATGGAGTAAACAGGGGAAGGAGCAAGCCTAGAAGAGAGAGTAAGGATGCATTGGCTTTCAAACCAGGAAGCCCGAGTTGTAAAAGGCAGATACTATCAAAGTTATACAAGATGGAATGTGGGTGGGTGTGGAGTGTAGCAAAAATGTCAACACCAAAGGGAGTCTCCTGAGTGGAGGTGATGACTGGAACCCAAGGAGGTTGGGAGACGTTAAGGAAAGGAATCTAGAGGAGGAAAAGTCAGCAAAGGGGGTGGAGAGGGGAATGGGAATGGACAAGGTGACAGGGCGCCCTGATACCAAGAGAGGAGCATCAAGGGGCAGGAGGGAAGTCGGAAGTCACTCAGGGGTTGTCAAGGCCAAGTCTATAAAGAATCCCCTGGATTCAGGCACAAGGAGATGAGCGAGAGCAGCATTTTGCCCCTCCCAGTGCCCAGCACATTACGAGGGTTTGCCCAGCTCCTCAGAATGAGTTAATAAAAGCAGTGTGCCCCAAGTGCCACTGCCTCTCACACAGGGCACGCTCGGTACCTGGCACAGGCACCCAGATCACTCACAAATAATGTCAGGAACATCGATCAAGTTCATCAGGTCATCGTCCTCCTGGTGCTGAGTGTATTTGAGCTGGGATCGCTGGTGTGCCACGGACAGCACCTCCTGCAGCAGCTCGATGTTGCGGAGCTTCTTGCATAGGCTCACTCCCCTCACAGACTCCTCGTGATGGGCAATGGCTTTGCGCAGATGGGACTTGCCTGCCAACAGGAAAGCAGCACACGTGACATCGGTCCTAAATTGCAGCACGAGTACCTCAAGGAAAGCCGAAGTGCCCAAGGATCAGCCCAGAAAGGTGGGCCTTCTCTTTTCTGAAGAATCTGCCCAGATGGCTTAAGTCTCTCTGAAGTACATGTGCAATATGTTCATTTATGTACATAAAACATCCATTCACCATATATTTACCGAATGTTCTAGGCAGTAGAGATAAAGCAATGCATTCATGGAGCTTACATGCTCATGGCTGAAGACAGATAATTAACAAACAAGGCAGTATGTAATGGAATGTGTGGCAATCAGGTTATGGAGAAATGTGAAACTGGGTAGGCAGATGTGGCAAGAGAAGACTGGGAATGGAAAGTTGCTCTTCTATGATGGATGATCAGGAAAGACCTTTTTGAAGATAACTTTTGAATAAAGCCCTGAAGGAAGTAAGGAAGCAGCCATGATGATATCTAACAGAAGAGCATTCCTGAAGGAGAAACTGCAAGTGCAAAGGCCCTGGGGCAGGACCATGCCTATGTGTTCAAGAACAACAAGGTGTTTGGGGGTGAGGCAGGGAAGGGTAGGAAAGGAGGGCAGAGAGGAGCAGGGGCTGGACCAAGTCCAACCATGCAAGGTGAGGACTTAAGCTCCTATTGTGGGTAAGATGGGAGCCCATCAGGGTGTAAGCAGAGAACTGATGTGATTTGACCATGTGAAAGGACTATGAAGGAGCACAGAGAAAAGCAGGAAGACCAGCTATGAGGCCACTACAAACAGCTGGGCAAGCTGTGTAACCTCTCTGGGACTATTTCCTCAACTGAAAAATGGAGATCATGCCATCTCTCTCTCATAGGATTGTGTGAGGTTTAGCAAGTCTGCATCGTGTGGCTTGGATCAGGGTGGTAGGGTGAGAAGCGGCTCGCTTTCTAGGTAGAGTCAATGGGATTTGCTAATAGTTGTGGGGAGACAGAGCACAGAGTGAGTCCAGGTTTCTGGCCTGCACACCTAGAAGGATGCAGTTGCCATCACTGAGATGGGGAAACTATGTGGCGGGGGCATTGGTGGTGGTGGTGGTGGTGGTGGTGGTAGTGAGACTTGGCAGAGATCAAGCCAGGACAATTCATTACCAGTTCTCAGGTGTGACCTGAAAAAATGAACTACTGTGTCCTTCCACATGAGGGGTGATGAAAGACTGTCAAAGCTCTCCACTGGGGAGGCCCGGGCCCTCTCGGAACCCACGAGAACATAGCTCTGGAAGCCCGCAGAGATGAGAGGGCTACGCCTCACGGTTTCTAAATCCAGAATGGCCACAATGACTCTGGACCTCTGCTCTCCAAGCCTTGCCCTGGGGGCATGTCTGGGGCTGTTTGTGAGCAGGACCAGCTGGGCAACAAATGGGACACAAGGAGGGAGGGAGCGGGAGAGCCAATACACACCCAGGTGTCGGCGCTGGTTCGCGTTTTTCAGCGTGGCCAAGGGCGTCAGCCCCTCTGGCATGTGGTCATAGAGCTGGGACAGGCACTTCTCCTGGTGGTCTTCATCTGTACCCGGCTTCACTGTAACAAGAGCCACAGGATGAGTCCCTTCCCGTGGACATGGCTGAGGGCTCTGGAGAGGGCGCCACAGACCCACTTAGAGATTTCTCTTCCAACCACATCTTCAGCTTCCTTTCTTCTCCAGTTTTACAAGGCACTTAGGGTAATAGGTCTCCTTTCTGCCCTTGGATAAACTCCACAAGTCTTTGCATATATAGGGCTCATAATTTGGTGTTGAGGTCCCACCCTCAACCCCTCCAACCCACCCACTTCGAGGAACCTCCTATCACAGTCCCGCCTCAAACCTCTGGTGGCCTCTGTGCCTGCACTGTCCCTGGCACATGTCCCCCTCTAACCTCACCAAACCACTCACCACTACGCTCTACACTTTTGGCCTCCATCTCAGAGCTCAGGCAGCTGTTCTAGCTGTCCTTTCTTTCCTTGATCAGCTGAAAAAGTCCTAAGAGCTCAAAGTCCATCTCAAATGAAAAACTGTCCGTGACTGCACCAAGAAGTCCAACTGCTGCCTCACTGGTGGTCCCTGCTGCAACTACTGAAGCACTGTATTTGCGTTGGTTTACATGACGCACGTGCCTAGCAGACCACATAATGATATTAGCAGTAAGTAGCAGCTAACACATTTAGGGAGCCACCTACATACAAGGCACTATTTAGCTTTACACATGGGCACTGTTTTCACAACAACCCTGTGAGATAGGTCCCCTTCATATCCTCATTTTAAAGGTGAGAAAACTGAGGCACAGAGCAGCTAAGTAACTTGCCCAAGATCACACAGCTAATAAATGGCAGAGCTAAGATATGAACCCAGGGAGTCTGGCTCCAGAGGCTACTCTCTTCATTATGCTGGGGGCTGCCTGGATTAGTACTAATTACAACAACATTCCCACCCAGCCTGAATCAGAGCCAAAACCAGGGTGAGGAGAATGACGCACTCGCCTCCAGCTGAAAATTGAAGGGGGTGCCAAAATCTCAACAAGTATGTAATTGTTTAATACAAGTTTCTAAATACCAAAATCAATGCAAAAAATCCACGTAAACAAACAAAAATCAAAATTTCTTTTTGCTTCAGGCTCTGATGTGACTCAGCATAGGTTACCAATATCCGTATTTGTTTGTTTATTTATACTTTCTTTTGGAGAGATAGGAAGGTAGAGAGAGAAAGAGAGAGAGAGAGAGACAGAGACAGAGACAGAGACAGAGACAGACAGACACCGATCAGCTGCCTCCTGTATGCACCTGATCAGGAATCAAACCTGCAATCTGGTACATGCCCTGACTGGGACACTGCAACCAACTGAGCCACACCAGCCATGGCACCCCATCTTTATTTAAAATTCTGATCACCTCTGGCTGGCTGGTGTGGCTCAGTTGGAGCACTGCCCAGTACCCTAAAAGTTTGTGGGTTTGATTCCAGGTCAGGGCACATACTAAGTTGCAGGGTCTTTTCCCAGTCAGGATGCATATGGGAGGCAACCAATCGACGTTCCTCTCTCTCTCACTCTCTCTCTCTCTCTCTCTCCTTCCCTCTCCCTTCCTCTCTTTCTCTAAAACCAATTTTAAGAAATTTATCACCATAGAATTTTTTGCATTAATTTTGATTCATTTAAAATGTCACATTTAAATTTTATCTTGATTATTGAGTTTTGGGGCATTCCCTTAGATTTTGTGCCTCAGACAAATGCCTCCTATTCCGTGCCCTGGTCCTCACCCTGTTCTAGCTCTCCATAACATCGTCTGCTCCATCCCAGGCAGAATTAACACTTCCCCCTTTCCTCCCACAGCGGAAACATGTAATGCCTAATCGCACCCTGGCCTATGTGACAGCTATTTGGGCCAACATGTACTTCCCACCCTCGGTCCCTAGGCAGTGAGGGCACACAGGCGGCCCCTATTCAGCTCATACTCCCCTGGAAGCAGGAAAAACACAACCATGATCGAAGCCCAGAGCCCCCAGACCCCCAAGTCTTACATTGGTGGTCGATGAGGAGTGTGGCTACAAAGTAGTGGGCCAGAGCTCCATAGTGGTGGGCCTTCACACAGGCCACGCTGGCCCAGGAGTAGGGGATGTTCTCCTTCACTGGCGCCTGGCTCATGGCCGCGTGCAGCTGCTGATAGACCTCTCCCACCTGCAACAGAAGCGATGCTGGGAAGGGGGAGCCTGGCACAGGAGCCCTCATGTACCCGGGCCGAAGAAAAAGAGCCCTTTCTTCTATGCAGCAGCCCCTGCCAGAGGCCGCTCCAGAATCTGGGAGTGACTCCAAGGATGCTTCATGCTGTCAGTGTCAGAGTTAACAGGGAGATCAGGCAACTGTCATTAAGCTGGTTTTTAGGCCAAGCTGCAGATGGAATCAGTGATCCGTATCTGAAACACCAGTACTTGCCAAGAAAATGCAAGCCAGCACTGTGGCCAGGGTGGGCACACTGCCCAGTCATAGGCAAGCTGCCATGGGAAGCCCACTACTTCCACTGAGCCCGCACCAACGCATCCTGCCCACTCTCCAAGTCACAGGAACCAGGAAGGCTTACCTTGGCAGCCTCCTGAGCCACCTTCACCAGCATGAAGAACTCATTCTGGATCCCAGGAAGGCAGATTTTCTCAAACACGGTTTCTTGGGCCTGGACAAGCATCATTTTGACCAGCACACTGAGCATGGCAGGACTCATGTCATAACTCGGTGTGTGAGTAAATGTCTCTTTCAGGTAGTTTAAAACCCCTACAATTGGAAATATTTTGCACATTAGTTGGGGATCATATTTATTTCACCATGCTGCTCAGAAATATAGAGAACGACAGGAGCAAAAATATACAAGTGGTATCCTGAAGCATCTTAAAGAATCTGATTTTCAATCACCGTAAGATCCAGCAATTCCACTCCTAGGGAAACACACCAAAGAATTGAAAGCAGGGACCTAAACTGGTAGTTGTGCAACAACATTCATGGCAGCATTATTTATAATAGCCAAAAGGCAGAAACTACTTAAATGTCCATTGGTGGATTAATGGATAAACAAAATGTGGCAGAAACATGCAATGGAATATTTTTCAGCCTTTGAAAGGAAAGAAATTCTGATACAGCTACAATATGGAAGAAGACATTATGCTAAGTGAAATAATCATAAAAACACATATTGTATGATTCCACTGAGATGAGTTGTGTGGAATAGACTGGAATTCATACAGACAAAAGTAGAATGATGCTTGCCAGGGATTGGAAGGGAGAGAGAATGGAGAGTTACTGTTTAATAGGAACAGAGTTTCAGTTGGGATGATGAAAATCCCTGGATATAGTTGTACAACAATGTGAAAGTACGTAATGCTAATGAACTATACTCTAAAAAATTGTTAAAATGGTAATCTTGTTATGTATCTTTTACCACAGTTTACAAAATGATAGGGGAGCATCTGAGATCTGCTTCCTGGCAATGTCATCAGTTTGGCTCAAATAAACTCATAAAATTCTCTACAAAAAAAAAAAATAGTACTTTCTTCCAAAACATTTACATCTGTATTAAGAAAAAAACCCAGCCCTAACCAGTTTGGCTCAGTGGAGAGAGCGTCAGCCTGCGGACTGAAAGGTCCCAGGTTTGATTCTGGTCAAGGGCATGTACCTCGGTTGCGGCCACATCCCTAGTGGGGAGTGTGCAGGAGGCAGCTGATCGATGTTTCTCTCTCATCGATGTTTCTAACTCTCTATCCTTCTCCCTTCCTCTCTGTTAAAAAAAATCAATAAAATATATTTAAAAGAAAAAAAAAAGAAGAAGAAGAAAGGATCAGCCTGGCTCCCATCCATTCCTGTGTCTCCTGGGATGAGTGTGAGAACGTCCAAACCTGACCAGGCATTAGGGGAAGGCAAAGCAGGGGGCAGGAATGACTGAGGGGCTCTCAGGGGGACACTCACACTTAACACCTCGGTCATTCAGAAATTCAGGGCTTTTGCCCAGGAAACAGGAAGGATCAGCTCAGCCCATTCCAATGGAAGTTTCAAGCTGTAGCCCTCGGCTTATGTTTTTTATGCTTTAGAAAATTAACTGTCACAACATAAACAGACATCAACCTGGAGCTAAAATAAAATCTCTACCATGAATCCCATCGGACTGGTTCCTCTGGTTTTGCCACAAAGCACAGACCGCTCTACAGAAAGATGGCAATTGCGGCAGGCTGTCTGCTCCCCTCTGGGTTCCAGAGTATGCGACACAGGCCCTGCTAGAGGGGACTCTTGGAAACCACCTTGAGCCCACTCACTGCACCAGGCCTGACCCTGGTCCTCCACAGGTTGGTAATAAGTGACACTTGACAAAGGGCCAAGAAGAGCAACCTTAGGTGGACAGGCTTCATAGAATCGGCAAAATATAAAGGCATAAGTAGTAATAGGCACCAATGAGGCACACATGATTTTTTTTAAAGCCTATGTTTTCACTACTCAGAAAAACTTACTCTGTTCTTCAGTGCAGTGTTCACAGGAACACTTCATTCACTGCCATCCTTCGGGCTACTCATTTGGAAAGGATTAATCGTTAACCATAGGATTCCCTGTGCACATGAGCCATAACCCAGACCCAGACGGAGCCGACAGGGTGTAAAACATTAAGTAACTCCCTTGGTGGGAAATTACAGCAGTGCTGGAAACTGGCCTGGCCCTTTCAGGCCCCTGAGACCTCGGAAGGACCCACAGAGCCACTTCAGTTGGGGTACCCAGCAGCCCTCTCGGAGACGCACCTGCGGCTTTCTGAAACGCATCCATTGCCCCCTCCAGCCCAGCTTGCGTCTGCCTGTTACACCGGGTCCCAATCTGTGTGTAGAGGGCTCCAATGTTAAACAGAATGCTGGCTTTCTCCAGTAACAAGTTCTGCTGGCTGACTGGAACCCCGGTCAGGGAGTCATACCTATTTAAAAGAAATGTGTTGTGAGAATAGTTTACTTGGCTAGTTAACACCATTTTGGGGTAAAAAATGGACAAAACTTATTTCTTGAATAAATTCAAAAATGCACATGCAATGAGGCCTTCATTTCCAAATAAGATGATGGGCCTGATCATACTGAAGACGCACGCACAATAGCACACAAAAATAAGGTTTCACAACCAAGATGCCCTTCAATAGGTGAATGGGTAAACAAGCTGTGGTACATCCATACAGTGGAATATTATTCAGCGCTAAAAAGAAAAAAGCTATCCAGCCATGAAAGACATGCAGGAACTTTAAATGCATATTGCTAAGTGAAAGAAGCCAATCAGAAAAGGCTACATACTGTATGACTCCAACTATATGACATTCTAGAAAAGGCAAAACAATGGAGACAGAGAAAGAATCAGTGGTTGCCAGAGTTTCAGAGGGGAGAAGGGGGAGGGACAAATAGGTGGAGCACAAAAACTTTTTAGGGCAGTAAAAGGACTCTGCATACTGTAATAGTAGATACTTCTCATTATACATTTATCCAAATCCATATAGAATGTACAGCCCCAAGAGTGAACCCTAATGTCAACTCTGGACTCTGGGTGACACTGTGCCAACTGTAGTAAGTCAACGTACTGCTCTGGGGGGGAATGCTAATGTTGGGGGAGGGTGTGCTGTGTGGGGGCAGGAGGTATATGGGAAATCTCTGTACCTTTCCTTCAATTTTGCTGTGACCCCAAAACTGTTCTAAAATACATATTTAAAAAAGATAAGGCTTCTCCTAAATGAAATACAGCAATTACAAACCCCTCATACTTTTTGCTAAAGTCTAAAAGATTTAGGATTCGTTTTAAAGTTCACACATCAACCAGCAGGCAGACCGGGAGCTTCTCCTTAATTCAAGACTGAGGCGAAACCACCTTTAGCACCTTCGCCGGAGCAGGCAGCTAACAGCATCTTTACACGGTTACCCGCCTCTCCTTTCCCAGGCAGGCATCCCGTGGGCCTGCTGTGGGATAATTTAACGCTCACTGTCGGGACTTAGTCTCCTCTCACCCCCACTCAGAACAGGCACAGCAGCTGTAAATATTTCAGCCGCACTAATCTTAAACATTCAGCTTTGTTTTCTATTTGATCTATTTCTGTTTGCACCCTTGTCATTGGGACAAAACCTGATTCCCAGCCCCCACCTTATCTGGGACAAGAATCTTGCCTCATGTTAGTTCCACCTCAGAGCCCCAATGTTTCCCCAGGATAAAATGAGCTCGAAAAAATGCCTCTTTTCCTCGGCTCACTTGTTCTGAGAAGGAAAAGGCAAACTCTGTTGCAGCCTTCTCCCCTCGGGTCCCCTTCGCAAATAAACACCAGTTTATCTGCACGTCCTGTATAAAGGGGACAATTAGAGAGAGGGGCCCACAGTGCACAGGAGCCTCTGTAGTGCCCAGGCTCCAAGCAGGGACTGAGTGGGGCAGCCCCAGCCCCAGCCAAAGCCCCAGGCACCTACCATGTAAACAAGATCCCCATCTGTCGGGTAGGCGGGAAGAATCGGCTCTCAACAAAGCCCAACTGGAGGAAATAACTCATCAGCAGCTCAACCCCGGCCTCATCCCGGCTGGGCGTCCTACAAGCCTGAAAGGAAAGGAACGGCACCTGGGGGTGAGGGGAACACACAGGCTGGAAGGGGGTCACACACGCTGTTTCTGTGGCGCTTGGCCCTGCTATTGGTATCATGAACTCTAGGAGGGGTGGAAGGGCTGGGATGAACTCAGGAGTGCCAGAATCGAGCCCAGCTATGCCAGTGGGCAGGCCTCTTCCCTTCCGTGGCCTATGTGACAAGTAGGAAGATGATTCTAACAGCCCCTCCCGATCACCTCCAACCATCTGCAATTCTATAAGATTTCAAAGGCAATAGGGAGAATATTCTGAAGACTCAACAAGCTCCAGCAGCCACCCTCCCTGCTGCATACAGAAACATACTTGTCTCAGATCCATAAGATCTGCTATTTCATCTTCATATAGGTAGCTATCTTCACTGTAGTGTTCCAGAATAAAATCCTGTAAGATAAAATGAAGATAAGGTTTGATTCAAAACCATAAAGAGGTAAAAGAGTAACGTCTAATGTGCTCACTTGAAAAATACGTGAAACCCTAGCTGGTTTGGCTCAGTGGATAGAGTGCTGCCTGCAGACTGAAGGATCCTGGGTTTGATGCTGGTCAAGGGCACATGCCCGGGTTGCAGGCTCGATCCCCAGTGGGGACCATGTAGGAGGCAGCCAATCAATGATTCTTTCTCATCATTGATGTTTCTATCTCTCTCTCCCTCTCCCTTCCTCTCTAAAATCAATAAAAATACATTTAAAAAAATACATGTAGAATACAAAGAAACCTATGGGAGCTTGTAGACTACCATGATTTTCTGAGTAGTAGGGTTTATTTTCTTAATTGTATTTATGTGGATTTTAAAATTTTGCTTTAGTTGTTTCAATAAAAAGGAAAGCTGAAATTATTATTTCTAAAAATGTCTTTGCCCTGTACATTAAATGATTCTGGTAAACGTCGCAGATATTCAGGAGCTCAGACCTGCATCCTCTGGGCTCCCAGGGTCTTCCTGGAAAAGGAACTTGTATCTGGGGGATGCTACCCTCAGGGCCTGCGATGTGAACCTTAGTGACAGCAGCTCCGGCACGTCCACAAATGAAGCCCCCCAGCGAGACTTCCTACTGGGCCCACTGCCCAGTGCTTGACAAGCACTCTGTGAGCTCACTCAGTCATAGGGCACTACTGATGAGCATGGGCCTATGCCAGGCACGCTCACAGTGCCTGGGCTACATCAGTGAACAAAACAAAGATCCTGCCCAGTGGAGCTTATATTCTCTCAGGAACACAGACAATAAGTAACAGGCACAACAAATATGTAAATCACATGGTATATTAGGAGATGGCAAGTATTACAGGGGGAAAAACAAGAGCAGTATAGGGGGGTGGAGAACACATTCTTGCAAACATGCTCTGTGAGCACTGGCTCTCCTTGGCCACAAGAAAGGCGGGGAGAGATTGTGCAATCATGTTTCCCAAGTATCTATGAGGATTCCCTTTACACACCTACTACAATAATAATGTAATTAAGCAGATAACTATTAAACTTTAGTGAAGGATATTAGTTATGTCAGTCTTTCATTTAATTCATAAAGTCACTTTTTTTTAAAATAATTTTTTATTGATTTCAGAGAGGAAGGGAGAGGGAGAGAGAGATAGAAACATCAATGATGAGAATCACTGATTGGCTGCCTCCTGCATGCCCCACACTGAGGATTGAGTCTGCAACCCGGGTATGTGCCCTGACCAAGAATCGAACCGTGACCTCCTGGTTCATAGATCAATGTTCAATCACCGAGCCACGCTGGTTGGGCTAATTCATAAAATCATTTAAATAAGATAGATGTTGTTTCTGCCCCCATAAACTTGCTGTTTGTTGATAGCAACAATTAGAAATATATTCATGGATGAAAATGTGCAACACTATAAGGTGCATTTTTGTCCAAATTAGATTTGACTGATTCTAATGAATTTCAATTAAAACCCAAAAATACCGTTTTTGCAAAACTTGACAAAGTATGAAAGTAAAAACGTGGAAGAAAAGCTAAGAGCGTTTTGAAAAGCATAATAATAGCGGAGGCTGGCTCTCTTTACAAAGTGCTGAAACATACAGGGGTTAAACAGTGAGAAATGATCAATAAAACCAGATATGGATCTGAAACGGGCTGAAGCGAATTCGAGAATCAGGTATATAACTAAAGCAAGAATTCCAGGAAGTGGGGAAGGCTGAAGCATCCAACAGATTCAGGGAGGAAGGAGGTGGCACACAAATGGTGTGACGGCTGTGAGTTTAAGGAAAGAGCTGTTACAGTGGTGTGGATGGTGTGGGAGCTCCAAGGCCATTAGAACTCCAGAGCTAAAGGGCCATGGGAGAGAAGGAGCTTTGGAAACCCAGAGAGGTGGCTGCCTGAGGTGGGTTCTGAATGGCCACCATGACCTTCCCTATGGGAATGCAAACGGAAGCCAGTTGAGCCCTGGACGGTGAGGGTCGGTGATCAGAGCGTTGGCCCACGCACCAAAGGGTCACAGGTTCGACTCCCAGTCAAGGACACGTACCTGGGTTGCAGATTCGATCCCCAGGGTCAGGGTGTGCAGGACACGTACCTGGGTTGCAGATTCGATCCCCCGGGTCAGGGTGTGTTCAAGAGGCAATCAATTGATGTGTCTCTCTCACATCTAAGTTCCTCTCACACTCTCTCTTTTCCTCCCCCTCCCTCTCTCCCTTCCACTCTCTCTAAAAGTCAATGGAAAAAATATCCTTGGGTGAGGATTAACAACAATAACAACAAAGGAAGCCAGTTGAGGGAGCTGGGAATAAATGCCAACTTCCCTCTCTTCCCATCCTCTCATCTCCTGCTGGTGCCCCTCCCCTTGGCCACACCCAGTAAAAATACCACAGAGTAGGAGCTAGTCGCTGTCTCCCTGGCACAGAGCAGGATGGAAGAGGGTAGGGTAGTGGGGGGTGGAGTGAAAGAGGAAAACAGACATCACCCAGCACCATAGATGCATGGGAAACTGGTTGCCTGTTTGGTGAAAATAAAAAGTTAAAGCCTTACACCACACATTTTCACCAAAACAAATTCCAGACAGATTAAAGATTTGATGTTAAAAAATTTTAAACAAAGCAATAAGAGAAACAATAGTAAAATATTTATGACATCTTGGCATAGAGAGAATGCCTTTCTAGAGATGTCAGCAAGGCAGATTGTAAAGAGAAGAACTGATAACTTTAACAATATAAAACCTGTATGAAGAAAAATACAGTTTTTTAAAACTGGTTATTGCTTATATAACAAAAGTTAAAGGAAAGAATGTACTGAGAGAAATATTAGCAATATATAACACCAAGAGTTACTATCTTGCACATGTTAAAAACAAAACAAAACCGTTTTATGTAATAAGAGCAACACTACGGCAAGCAAAGGACAGTAACAGTCATTTTGAAAAAGAGAAATGCAAGGGGCACATAAACATACACAAAAATGTATTCAACTCTATTTCTGATCAAAGAATTGCAAACTATAATAAGGTATCACTTTTGCCTTGGTTTCACAAAAATCAAAAAAATAGTTTTAAAAAAATCCAAATGATGAATGATACCGAGGGTAGCAGTTCCACACTGTAAGGAATGTAGGCAGGACCATTTCTGGTGGGAAGTCACATAATAGAATATGTATCTTTGACCTACCAGATTCACATCCAGAAATTCATCCAATGGGAATATTCAGCGAAGTATGCAAAGAAGCTAACAGAGAACTGCTGATGGAAGCTGCCTAAAGCAGGAAATTAAGAGCCATCTTGTTTAGCACAGGAGACACCACACTAAGCCCTCACGGAAGGGAGGAGTCACACGTCCTCGGGAGGGAGGCCCCTGATCAGAGGAAGAGCCCAGGTGTCCAAAGATTAGATGCTGAGCAAGTTATTGGGGAGGGGTAGTGGGTTTTGAGGGATCTCCATACGTCTTGGTATTTTCTGAATGTTTTGGAATAGTGTTTTTAATTAGAAAAATAAATAAAGCTCTATTTAAAAGCAAAAACAACAACTTGAATTGTCAGGTAAGAGAATGTAGTTTGATGGTGTTTTATAAAAAATTATTTTTATTGATTTCAGAGAGGAAGGGAGAGATAGAAACATCAATGATGAGAGAGAATCATTGACTGGCTGTGTCCTGCATGCCCCCTAATGGGGATCTGCCTGAAATCCGGGCATGTGCCCTGACGGGAATGGAACCATGACCTCCAGGTTCATAGGTTAAGACTCAACCATAGGTCAAGCGAGCCACACTGGTCAGACAATAATGGTGCTTTTTAATGAGGCCATTTTAAAGCCTATTTATTTAAAATAAAACCAAATCACATTGTGAGGCTTTACTAACCTTTAAATGTCACACAGACACATATGACAGATTTAAAGACAATCTGAATTGCCCTAATGAAGTCAGGCAAACTATTTCTGTAGCACCTGTCTGTTACTCTGAAGCACAAATGTGGAAGGGAGAAAACAGAATGTCCCCAAACGTTCTCATTTTTGTCTAACTGACATTTGTAGAGTCCCTTTTAAGCTAAAATGACATGGTTGGGAGCCTCAGCTGAATAGTAGCTGGCCACAGCATGTGATTTTTTTCACTGGCTTTAATGTGGAACTCAGCACGTGACATGTTTGAATCCTTACAGATGCCCATAAAATTCCCAAGTTTCTCCAAGACTCTCCCTTTAAAATGCCTACACTCTTGCAGCTCTAGCACCAAGTAACAAATTAAATCTTAAGAAAATTATCCTACAAAAGCAACTGAAGACATTTCCACAGACAGGCAGTTTGTCAGGCCTGTGACAGTATCACATCTAAAAGTTCAAGTAGCCTGTGAAAGGCTGGCATAAAACTGTTTCCTAGATTGTTTTCTGCCCAGATAATCCAATCTGTGGTGATCCTGGGTCCTACAAGACCACCAATGTCCTTCTCAAACCCAAAATGAACACCATACTCCCAGAGACCTGCACCAGGATTAAACAAGGCTGCAGGCAAAAAGGCTCTGGGTGAAGGGGCTTATGTCACAGTCTCTGCTCCAGAAGGGAAGTCAAGTGCAGAAGCTTTCAAAGCATTAACTGATTGCTTTTATTATTGTTTTTTATATGGTAAAACAACTAGTCTTTAATTATATTTCATAAATCAAAGTCCAAACTAAAGTCACATCTATATATATAAAAGGCTAATGCAAAGTGTCCCCTCAGGAGTTTGATCGGGAGACGGGGAACTGATTGCTTGTAAAAAGACAAATGCTACAGTGCCCCAAATACCATATGATACTTTATTCTTTCCTAAACTAAAATTAGTCCAGAATGAGTCACAGGGATTACTATGAAAAGAAACTTAATTCTTTGAAGCACTTTTTCATGATGCTGGGATTAAGTCCTATACACCAGGCCTGTGCTGGAAAGCTCAGAGACGGGCACTACCTCCCACCCCATCTCCACTTCCTCTTCCTAACTGGAAGTCTGCGGGGATTTGTTAAAACTCAGACTAATGGAGCTGGGAGAAGAGAAACAGGAGGGCATTCCAGGTTTCAGGAGGCTCTCCTGGCCCCCGCCTGCAGGCGAGGCATTTCCTGCTGCCTCCAATCAGGGCACTTTTCTCACTTCCCACCTGAACCCAGCAGGCAGGGCCGGTGACACACCAGCATCCAGCTCGGTGACAGGCAGAGGTGGGCCTACAGGTATCATCTGCCTGCCAGAGACACACACAGTCAAAAGGAAGTCACATGCTGTTCAACTGTAAGAGGCGAATTGTATGGTATATAATTTATATCTCAATAAAGTAATTATTTTTTTAAAAAGAAAGATAAGGACAAAGAAAGAAAAAGAGGGGTGAGGGGGTGGAGACCAGATCCCCAGAAATTGGATGGGGGAAAAACAACAACCATAAACTCTAGTTATTCACGTATTTAAGGACAGTGAAAACCAACATCTCTGATTTACTTTGAAATGCATCAAAAAATAAGATGAGCCTGGTTAGTGCAGCTCGGTGGTTGAGCGTCAATCTGTGAACCAGGAGGTCACAGTTCAATTCGGATCGGGGCATATAAGCAGGTTGCAGGCTCGGTCCCCCGTGTGGGGCATGCAGGAGGTGGCCAATCAGTGATTCTTTCTCATCATTGATGTTTCTATTTCTCTCTCCCTTTCCCTTCCTCTCTGAAATCAATAAAAAATATATTTTAAAAAATGAGACACAAGATGCAGAGATGGATAAATCTGTGAGAAAATAACTATAATAAAATGTTCATGATAGAATCTAGGTAGTGAATATACAGGAGTCCACCGTAAAATTCTTTCATCTTTCCTGTAAGTTTGGAAATTTTCACAATAAAATGTTTAGGGAAAATATGTAGCTATTTTTCCAAAAATACGGCCTATATCAGTTACAAAATTTAAGAAAAAAATACTAAAATAGGACACAATTTTTTAATTCTAAAGCATGTCCACCATAGACCCTTTTTAAAAAAAAATCTTTATTGTTGAAAGTATTACATATGTCCCCCAATTTCCCCCTTGACCTCTTCTAGCGCGTCCCCCTGCCCCTTGCCCCAGGTCTTCAGCACCCTATTGTCTGTGTCCATGGGTTATGCATATATGCATACAAGGCACCACAGACACTCTTTGACCTGGCCTCAGAGTGCCTAAAGAATTCCAGAAGACTGCACTAAGTTCTCTGTGCAGCAATGGGGCTCAGGCTCACCCTGCAGAAACCAATGGACGCTTGGCCCATTGAGCCTAAGGCCACTTGCTGGGAATACTAAATTTTTATATCAGAGACTCCAATCAGAGTACTCCCACTTCCCACCTGAACCCAGCAGGCAGGGCCGGTGACACACCAGCATCCAGCTCAGTGGCACAGGTGTTTAAGAAAACAGTGATTCCAGCTCCCATTGCTTTGAGATTTACCTTGAGAACAACTGAAAAGTCAACATCCTTGGTTTCCTTCAGGCCAAGTGGAATCAGCGGGATTGTAAACGTCTCCCTAGAAGAAGCACAGCACCTTGGTTTATGAACATCCTATACTGGCCACTCTGTACCTACAGCCTCCCCAGTAGCCAGCTCAGGTCCCCACCACCCCCTCCTCACATCAACCCCAAACACCAGTTCATTTTCCATAAAGACGACTCTGGACACATCCCTGTCCTGGTCCCAGCCTAACACACAAGGGCTTACCACCATCTCAATCAGTTTATCCCTCCAATCTCAGCCCTTCCTCCAGTAACTTTGCCGAGAATCTACCATGTGCCAGGACCTGCGCCTGGGTCCCACCTCGCTTGCAGCCCTCATCCCTGGGCTCTCAGTTGCCTCCTCCTTGGGGTGTATCTCTCTAGGTGTCTCATCAACCTGCATGAGGAAGGCCTTGAGGGCAGATGCCCCATCGGGCAACTAAGTGCTCCTAGCTCCCAGCCCAGGGTCAGGCCCTAGCTAGCTACTTCCCCTCCACCTCCTTCCCCCCGCAACTGACTACTTGGTTACCCCATAGGTTACCCTGGGAGTGCACCTGAGCCTAGTTCTTAGGGGCAGGGCCAACAGGAAGTGAACCTGGCTCAGGCTGTGTTCTGCAAACAGGGATTTAGCTCCCTGACCTGTAACAGGAGACCTCCTGAGGCTGCTCAGCCCGGCCAGGGGAGAAGGCCAGGAATGCTAAGCAGGGTGAATGGACAATGCAGCTGTAAGCTGAAACTGTCTCTGTGCTGGAAGGAAAACAAGGGGCTGTGCTCAAAGCAGGCAAGATCCAACGGGGCCTGTGGCTTCCCCAAAGCCCGCAGGGAAAGCCGGACCCTGCTGGAAGGAGATGAGGATGGGCCATGCCCCTCCCCTCTGTCCTCAGCACCCACCTGTCCTCACCCCACATAGGGCTGGAGGCAAGGTCTGCTCTTTCTGTGCCTGTCCAGGAGACCCCCCTGACCAGGGCACCCCAGCCCCACTCTTAGGCTAACCTCTGACCTCCCTGTGTTTCTCATCTGCACAATGAGATTGTTTCTTCCTTGCCTACCTCACAGAAGTGTTTAAAGATCAACTAAGAAAGAGGCCATCTGCTTTGAAAACAGGAAGAGGGAGGATTCAAATGCAAGGGGGCATTATGAATGTGCACATCTCTATCTCCTCTTCCCAACGGCCCAGGGGACAACTGGCCACTTCAGAGCCACACTGTGACCACACTGAAGCCTTAATTGCATGTCTCTGTGGGAGGTCTTTCCAATGGACATCCCTGAGTTTCAGTACAACAAGTGGGAATAGGAAGCATCCTCCATTTCTCACCAAAGTTTGGCCCTGCCTGGCCTCCTCGAGGAACTTTGACCTTTTGGGCAAAACACTGGAATTTAATACGAGAGTGTAGGCTGGGAGAAACACTGCACTGGTCCTAATTAGGCGACCAAAACCACACTGTGAGCCCAGAGCTGAGTGAGCCAGGGCCCACGGGCGTCACAAAGGGGAGAACAGAGGCTTCACAGGTCTCACGGCTAACGCTCTCCCTCTGGCTCTGAAAAACACATCTGTGGCGTGCAGAGGACTGGGGACAACCAGGAAAAGCACATTCCAAAGATGACTCAAGGTTTTCAAATGTCATCCTTCTCTTAATCCAGGGATCGATTTTCTGACTGAGTTTCCCCTCGGGCTCGCCTCCCTTTTAAGAAGTTTCACTTCCCCACGCAGAAGAGGAGGCAAACTCTTCTTTGGAGCTTCTCAAAGTTATTTCTCCTTAAAGATGGACAGTTCCCACTTTGGGGCGAGAGACTCCCTGAGCTTTCTTAAAGTCACACCTTAATATAGGGTATCCTCGCCGAGACCGGTTTGGCTGGTTTCTTGTTATCAGAAAATCTAGGGGTCCTCAAACTTTTTAAACAGGGGGCCAGTTCACTGTCCCTCAGACTGTTGGAGGGCCGGACTATAGTTTAAAAAAAAAAACTATGAACAAACTCCTATGCACACTGCACATATCTTATTTTGAAGTAAAAAAACAAAATGGGAACAAATACAATATTTGTATTTGCATGTGGCCCGCGGGCCGTAGTTTGAGGACCCCTGCCTTAATACCTCGCCTCCACAAACACTACCTATGGGACACTTCTGAATTAGAACGTCCGTTCCTCAAATATTTAACGGAGCACATTTCTGAAGTCTCAGTTGCTTCTCCTCAGAGAACTCCCATGAGTCCCCTAATCTTTGACATAAAAGGCAGTTTAGACATGTTTGCATTCTATCAACAAAGTGATCCAGGCCTTGTGCATGGTGGTGAGGCCTGAGCCTCAAGGGAAGAAGACAGGGCCACCTGGGCCCCACCTGGCAGTTCGGCTCTCAAAGCTCACCACAACAGCACTTTCAGGGCATTTTTATGGCTGAGCCACCCAGTTCATGTGAGAGAGGCCATATCCTTGCCTGGATCCAGCCATGCAGTACTCCCATAAAACATGTCCCAAAGGGTCCCAGGACAAATAAATGCCTTTGTCCAATTCTCCAGATGTTCCCAGCAACCTCCAGAAGTTCATCTCTGGTATCTGGCTCAACCCCAAATCTAATCATTGCCTTGCTTCCCAAAGGGGATTGCCTCACCCCCGGGACTATTGCTGCACCATTCGTGGTGTTGCATGATCTGAGGCTCAGAAAGTACCCCGAAGAAGCGTTACCCACACTTACTCTGTGCTCTGATAGACTCCCACTGAGATGTTGAGCCCCTCCAGCTCTTCCTTGAGCATCTGCAGGTCTGAGTTCACAAAGCTCAGTTCCAGGCGCACCTGCTCGCGTACCTTGTGGTTCGTGGCTGCTCTGTTAAAAAAGAGGGGGAGAGAAGCACCCTCAGCCAGATATCCCAGCTGCTACGTGAGCAGACACCCCAATCCTTGCAGAGGAGCTCTGAGATACCCCCTGCAGATGTGATCAGATAAGGTGTCTCAGGACAAAATTAGGCACCTACCCCTTTTTGAGCCACATCTACCAGCAAATGGCCCTGGACATAGCCAATGACACTGAGCTGCCATGCATAAATCCTAAGACATCTCTGCAAAGAACCAGCCTTGAGAAGAGAACAGAGAACTGTTCACAGCCACCCATAAAGGACCATAAATTATCCCCTCAAAAGAAAATGGGTCAGAAAATAGAGGAGGTAACACTTCCCAGCTCATTCTACGAGGCTAATATTATCCTGATCCAAAACCAGAGCAAGACAGAAGAAGAAAGCAATATGACGGACCAATAGCCTTCATAACTAAATATGCAAAAATCCTCAATAAAATATTAGCAACTTGAACCTAGCTACATATATAAAGGATTATACACCATGACTAAGAAGAATTCACCCCCAACTGCAAGGTTGGCTTAACACCTGAAAATCAATTAACATAACATACTATATTAATAGAGCAAAGGACCAAAAAACACATGGTCACTTTAATAAATGCAAAAGAAGAGTACGGGGGTCAGTTGGTTATAGCACTGTCACAATACACAAGGTTGCAGGTTTTATCCCTGGTCAGGGCACACACAAGAATCAACTAATGGCTCTAGCCAGTTTGGCTCAGTGGATTGAGTGTCGGCCTGCAGACTGAAGAGTTGTGGGTTCGATTCCAGTCAAAGGCACATGCCTGGGTTGCGGGCTCAATCCCTGGTTGGGGTGTGCAGGAGGCAGGCGATCAATGGTTCTCTCTCATCATTGATGTTTCTATCTCTCTCTCCCTCTTCCTTCCTCTCTGAAATCAATAAAAATTAAACAAAAACAAAAACAAAAAAGAATCAACCAATGAATGCATAAGTGGAACAACAAATTGATGTCTATTTCTCTCTCTAAAAATCAACCAATAAATTAAAAACATTTTTTAGAAAGTACACGCATGATATTGCTGAATCAGTTCCAGACCACCATTATAAAGGGAGTCATGATTTATTTTTTTTGGAGTCATGATCTTTTTGATGGTGGAGAATCTTGCCTTCAATTTGTAAAAAAGCAACATCTGTGAAGTGCAATTAAGTGAAGAGCAATACAACAAGTATGCCTGTAGTTGGTAACAGGTATGCCAAGTGGTTTGGCTCTGTGATAAAAATTTTAAACAAACTAGGAATAAAAGAGAATTTACAAAACTTGATAAAGGGCATCTATGAAAACCCACAGCTAACTTCATACTTCATGCTTTCCCTCTTATTATGATCAGAAATGAGGCAAAGATGTCCACTTCTGCCTCTGCTAACCAACATTGTACTGGAAGTTCAAGCCAGTGCCAATAAAGTAAATAAAGAAATTAAAGGTACCCGGATGGGAAAGAAAGAGTAAAATTGTTTTATTCACAGATGACATAATCTTGACATGAAACAAATACTAGAACTAATAAATTTAGCAAAATATACAAAAATCATTTTATAGTTATATACTAGCAATACAAATATTCAAATATTAAGAAAACAATTTCATTCAAATTAGCATCAAAAAGAATACTTGGGAATAAATTTTAGAAAAGAAGCACAATACTCATACACTGAAAATTTCAAAACGTTGTTGAGACATTAAATGTCATGTTTATAAATTGGAAGACTCACCATTGTTAAGATATTCATTCTCCATTGACATTTTCTACTGATATGATAAAACTGCAATAACAAACCAGTAAGCTTTTTGGTAAATGTTGACATGCTGACCCTAAAAATTATATGGAAATGCAAAGGACCTAGAATAATCAAATAATTCTGAAAAAGAACAAAGTTGGAGGACTTATGCTTTCTGATTTTAAAACTTATTATAAATCCACATAATCAAGACAATGTAATATTGGCAAAATGGACCTGAATTGAATCCAGAAATAAATCCTTACATTTGTGGTCAATTGACTTTGATAAAGGTGACAAGACAATTCCAAGGGGAAAAGACAGTTTTTCTGACAATTGGTCCTGAAGCAATTGTACATCCCTGGATATGTCAATGTCCCCAAGACTATCCCCAGGATCAGTGACTCATCAGGAGGACTCACAGGACTCAGAATATAATTGTACTCACGGCTCTGATTTTCTTTTTAATTTTTATTCTTTTATTATAATTGTTTTATTTTATTTGGTCTATTCCTTATTTTAATTTTTTTAATAATTCATTTCTTTTTTAAAATCTCTGAATCTGATCAGTTCATTAGTTTATTTTGTTACTTAGATTCATATGAGTGAGATCATGTGATTCTTGTCTTTCTCTGACTGACTTATTTCACTTAGCATGATACTCTCCAGGTCCCTCATGCTGTTTCAAAGGGTAAGAGATTCTCCTCCTTTTTTACTGCTGCATAGTATTCCATGGTACCACAACTTTTTTTATCCACTCACCTACTGTTTCCAGATCTTAGCTATTATAAATTGTGCTGCTATGAACATAGGGGTGCATACATTCTTCCTTTTTATTTCTCCAATATATTTTTAAAATTGATTTTAAAGAGGAAGGGAGGAGGAGAGAGAAATAGAAACATCAATGATGAGAGAGAATCACTGATCGGCTGCCTCCTGCATGGCCCACACTGGGGATCGAGCCCACAATTTAGGTATGTGCCCTGATCAGGAATTCAATGGTGACCTCCTGGTTCATAGGTCTACACTCAACCACTGAGCCACGCTGGCTGGGCTACATTCTTTCTGATTGGTGTTTTGGGTTTCTTAGGATATATACCTAGAAGTGGGATGGCTGGTCAAATGGCAGTTCCATTATTTAATTTTTTTAGGAAACTCCATACTGTTTTCCATAATGGCTGCACCAGTCTGCATTCCCACCACTCATGGCTGATTTATTATAGCAAAGGACACACAGCAAAATCAGCAAAAGGTGCATGAGGTGAGGTCTGGAGGAAACCAGGCACAGGTGGCTGAGGCCCCTTCCCGGGAGTCACACAGAATGGCTCAATTTGTCCAGCAGGGAGTTACAACAATACATGTGAAACACCATCTACCAAGGAAGCTGATTAGAGACATAGTGTCCAGGGTTTCTAGGGGCTAGTCAGACAGGCATCTCTGCCTAGCATGTTCTAACATTCCAGACTTCCAGAAAGAAAGCAGGTGCTCAGCGTAAATTACATTATTTGTACAAACTTGGGCACAATGAGCCCCTCTAATTAATTAATTAATTCTGAGAATAGTGGGAACTCTCCTGAAATCTATGTTTCCAGACACCAGGCAAAGGCCAACTTTGCAAGCAGGCCTTTCTAAGGATAGCCATCTCAGGCCTGCTATGATAACTCTTCTCCACAACCTAAGTCTCTTATTTTTTTTTATTTTTAAATCTTTACTGTTGATCTAAGTCTCTTATCATACTCAAATATTAAGTCAAAAACGGATCAGAGACCGCAATACAAGAGTTCAAGCTCTAAAACTTCCAGAAGAAAACACAGGAGAGCCCTGGCTGGTTTGGCTCAGTGGATAGAGCATTGGCCTGTGGATTGAAGGGTCCTGGGTTCAATTCCAGTCAAGAGCACATGCCCAGGTTGTGGGCTTGGTCCCCAGTGGGGGAAGAGGGAGGAAGGGGCATTCAGGAGGTAGCCGATCAATGATTCTCATCATCGGTGCTTCTATCTCTCTCTTTCCTTCTTCATTCCTCTCTGAAATCAATAAAAATAAAAATTAAATTAAAAAAAACACAGGAGAAAAATTTTCATGATCTTGGGTTGGGCAAAGTATTCTTAACTACAAACCAAAAGCATAATCCATAAAAAGGAAATTTTTTTATAATTTTTATTTCTTAAAGTATTATAAAGAGTATTACATATGTCCCCTCCCCCCCCCTCTTGACATTCAC